CATCGGGCTCCCTGTTCGGCAGGAAGCCTGCTTCTCCCTCTCCCCCTCCCCCTGCTGTGTTCCCTCTCTCGCTGTGTCTCTCTTTGTCAAATAAATAAATAAATAGATAGATAGATGATAGATAGATAGATAGATAGATAGATAGATAGATAGATAAACCCATTATCCTAAGACCCCCCATGGCACCATAGTGCATTGAAATGTGTAAATGGGCAAAAGAGGATTTGTAGCAAACTTCTTGTCGAATGAATTGGCTTTTAGCAGAAAAACAAATGTTCAGCGAGCACATACTATGTGCCAGGATCTAAGTGCTTTACACATATAACTGCCTGAAATCTCACAGCATCCCTGGGGGGTGGGGAATGAGCATCATTATACCATTTCACAGGTGAGGAAAGAGGCACAGAGAGGCTAAGTAACCCTCCAGCTGTCATATAGAAAGTGCTGGGGCTGGGACTTGAACCCAGGTTAATCACTGGGCCATGATGCATTGGCCTTTCTCTCAGCCTTTCAGCCTGGATCCTAACTCTCATTGCCCCAGCTCCCCCCTCACTCTCTTTGCCCCTCACTAACTTCCCTTGACCCTCACTAGTCCCTCAGCCCCTCACTAGTCCCTCAGCCCCTCACTAGCTTCCCTTGACCCTCACTAGTCCCTCAGCTCCTCACTAGTCCCTCAACCCCTGCCTAATCCCTCAGCCCATCACTAGTCTCTCAGCACCCATGTCTTTCCTGTTCTGCCTCTCAGTGAGACTTCAGGTCTCCATGAGTCTGTCTGTCTTCGGGTCCTCAGTCTCTGTGCTCCCGTGTCTCTCTGGCCATCTCGTCATCTCTCCGCCTGCCCCTTGGCCCCATCTTTCCCTTCACAGCCTCAGGTATCAGGGTTCCATCCTTTGCCTCCTGCCCAGATAGTGAGACTTGCTGCCCTCCAAGGAGAAGCTCACGCTACCTTCCTCTCAGCACCCGCAGCCGCTGACCGACCACAATGAGCACTGGAGTGGAAACAGCCAGGAAAGACAACTGAGGGCACAATGCCCGAATATCACCCTGTCACTCTGAATTACTCTGTATTCATTTCTGTCTCCTTGTCGTCTGTCTCCACCACTAGCATGTTAGCTCTGTGAGAGCCAGGTATTTACCTGTCTTGTCTCTGCTGCCTCCCCGGTGCCTAGAGTAGGGCCTGGCACACACTGATGAATGTTTGTTGAATGAATGAGTAATTGTCGTGTGTCTCGCTGTCTCACCTTCGATTTCTCACTCTCTTGCCATCTTGGTCAATCATGAGTCCCTCCTTCTGGGTCTGCCTGAGCCTCTACTCCCTTTAGCCTTGGCCTCTGGGCCTCTGGGTCTCTCCTGTGGCCACTGTGCATTCACCGAGCACTTACTATGTGCCAGGCCATATGTATTGGGTCTCATCTCCATCTTCATAGTGACCCCATGGGCTAGGTACCCACACTCCAGGAGGCAACCTGAGACTCTCGAGAAGCAGACACTTGCCCAGGTGTCTTTGGCATGACAAGTACAGGTCGAAGCTGAGGTTTGAGACTGAGTCTGTCTGATTAGTGCTTTCTTCTGACACGTGAGCGCTTCCTAGAGTGTGTCCCCTCAGAGCCTAGCCCTAGATCTGGAGGTGGGGGTGGGTCTTCAAAAAAAAAAGGAGGGAAAGAAAGAAAAAAATGAAGTCAGATGTGCTGAGCAGCTGCTGGCAACCCTCCTCCCCTTTTGCTGGGTCATTAGTGCAAATTAGCATTCTAAAGGCCCTGAGAAGTCCTGCAAGAAAGGAACCAGTTTGTCTTTGTTCAATCCAGTCTCTCCCTTGATTATTTTTCCAAAGAATCCCTTTTCCCCAGAATTTACTGTCCTCTTTTGCCTCTCACCCTCTCTTTTTCCTTCTGCCTCTCACCACCTGCTATCTCTCTCTGTGTCTCTGTGTCTCTGCGTCTCTCTCAGAAAGGCAGTAGAATGAAGTAGTTGAATAGCATGTTCTGCAACGAGACGGGATTTGACACCTGATTCATACTTGTAGAGTGCTGTGCTACCTTGGGCATGGTCTTAACCTCTCTGGGTTTCACTCTCCCCATCTATAAAATGGGGATAACAGCAATACCTAACTGAGAGGGTGAGGATTAAGTGAGTTACTCTGTGTGAAGCCCTTCATGCCTTGCCATCAGTGACTCCTGGGGCTGGAATGAGGCCCCAAGCTCAGTGCTAAATCACACAGCACAGCAGGAGTGAAGACCTCTGGTCAGGAAAGTCCACAGTGGCACCTTTCCAAGGTTAGGAAAGTACGGGTTCCACCCCTGAATTCAAGGTGTCAGGATTGTCAGTCCTCTCCTCCTGGGTTAGAGCCATATGGGGTGAAGCTTTGACTTTCAGACTCAGATAAAGCATTGACCTTGCCTCACTCCCATGCATGCGGGGTGACTCAGAAGTACAAAAGTGTATGGGCTTGATAACTAAGCTTCAAAATACATTAAGCAAAAACAAATAAAACTGCAAGGGGACATAGACAAATCCCAGTTATACTCAGATTTGGTTACCTCTCTTTTAATAACTTACAGAACAAGTGGGTGGAAACTCAACCAGGATACGGTAGCAGTGAACAACACTATCAACCAATTTGACCTGAGTAACATTTATAGCACTCCTATAAATATATAGTACCCTACAATGGCAGAGTACTTCCATGTTTGGCTGTTGTAGATAATGCTGCAATAAAAGGTGTGTGTGTGTGTGTGTGTGTGTGTGTGTGTGTGTGGTGTGTTCAGGTATCTTTTGGAGTTAGTGTTTTCATTTTCTTCAGATAAATACCCAGAAGTGCAATTGTTGGATCTTATGGTAGTTCTTTTTTTTTTTTTTTTTTTTTTTGACAGAGAGGGAAAGACAGCGAGACAGGGAACACAAGCAGGGGGAGTGGGAGAGGGAGAAGCAGGCTTCCTGCTGAGCAGGGAGCCGGATGTGGGGCTCGATCCCAGGACCCCAGGATCATGACCCGAGTGGAAGGCAGACACTTAATGACTGAGCCACCCAGGCGCCCCGGTAGTTCTTTTTTTTGCTTTTTGCACCATTAGTATTGCCCCCGAGGGGAGGGATGCACCGTTAAACCAGGTGGATGTGTGGAGTGGACAGAGCAAGCTCCTGCTTGGGTTAGTTGGATAGTTCTATTTGTTAGTTGGGTAGTTCTATTTTAATTTTTGGAGGAAACTCCATACTGTTTTCCACACTGGCTGCACCAACTTACATTCTCGCCAATGGTACACAAGAATTCCTTTTTCTCCACACCTTCACCAACACTTGTTGTTTCTTGTCTTTTTTTTTTTTTTAAGTAATTTCTATACCCAATGTGGGGCTCAAACTCACAACCCCAAGATCAAGAGTCACATGCTCCACCAACTGAGCCAGCCAAGCACTCCTGTTTCTTGTCTTTGTAATAACATCCATCCTAGCAGCTGTGAGGTGATATGTCACTGTAGTTTTGATCGGCATTTCCCTGATAATGAGTGATGATGAGTGGTGAATTCATGTACTTGGCCGCCTTATAATTGGCCAAGTGATTACAGCATTGGCCTACTCCTCATTTGATGGTCTTTAATTTAATCCCATCTACAAAATCCCTTCTACCATATTAGGTAGCATTCACAGGTTATGGGGGTTAGGATAAGGACATATTTGGGAGGCCACTATTCAGCTTACCCCAAACTTTAAAATAATGATACAGAGTGGAAAGAAGACAGGCAAAAAATAGTGCATACTACATGACTCCCTTCACATAAAATTGAGAAAAGTACAAGCTAATCTCTAGTGACAAAAAACAGATCAGTGGGGTGCCTGGGTGGCTCAGTTGGTTAAGCGACTGCCTTCGGCTCAGGTCATGATCCTGGAGTCCCGGGATCGAGTCCCGCATCGGGCTCCCTGCTCGGCAGGGAGTCTACTTCTCCCTCTGACTCTTATGCTCTCTGTCTCTCATTCTCTCTCTCAAATAAATAAATAAAATCTTAAAAAAAAAAAAACAAAAACAGATCAGTGGTTGCTCCCCGCCCCCCCATTTCCTTTTGAAGGAGAGAGACAGAGAGAAGTGGAAAGCCAGGCCCAGAGCACGACTGGTGGATGTGGCCACATTCATTCACACACTGGGCAAAATACGGGACTGAGCTTGCCAGAGGTCCGGTGCTATGATGGAGACAGACAGGAGCCCAGGGGACATCAGCCAACATGGACCCAGTCTCTGGGCTCGTGGAGCTCAGAGTGTAAAGGCAGAAACAGAGACACCGAGACAGAGAGAGATAGCAAGAGAGAGACAGTCACAAAGAGAGGGTCAGAGAAACATCCTATGGAGCTGGAGGCAGAAAGAGAAGCACCCGGCCCTGCTCAGAGCAATCAGAGAGCCAGTGGGCCTGAACACCGTACCTGCGTGGCCTCAGTCTCTCTCTCTCTGCACCTCTGAGTCTCACCAGTTCTGTGTCTCTCCCCCCCACCCCCACCGTCCTGTTGCCCCATCACTCCCATCTGTGGCCCCATCACTCCCATCTGTGGCGGTTGCCAAGGGAGGGTGAAGGATGGAGGGTTGGAGGTAGACACAGAGCACCTGAACGCCCCACGGACAGGGACTGGGGGATGCACAAACACACGGGCACACACCGGCTCATGCACAGGGACACACACCACCACCACCACCCAAATGCAAACACACCCTTGTGTATGAAGCCACATAAATACATATAAGCCCATACACATGCAAAAATATATACACAATGTCATGCAGACTCATACACAGAAACACATCTGCACATTCATGCAATGCAAACACCAATTCACATATAAAATCTTACACACACACACGCTAGCTTATGCACACAAGTGGACAATGCACGCTTACCTGTGCCCGCAAGACAAATACAACGTAAGTGCCTCACACATTCCTGTGGACTTTGGAATCGTTACCACATTGTCTTGGCCAACACGTAGGGTTGCCCAAACAGAAAGTATGGGTCTGTCAGTACCACTCTTTCTTTCAAGTTCACACTCCTGGCCTTGATGAGAGGAGAGGTGGGGTGGGGATGAAGTTACATAACGTGGTCGGAAGGCAGGTTCGGGATAAAAGTCACAGCTCAAGGCTGCAGTTGGGAGGAAGGCAGCCAGACCAAGTCATGGAGCTCAGCGTCCTTCTCCTCCTTGCTCTCCTCACGGGACTCTTGCTTCTGCTGGCCAGGTGCCACCCAAAGGCCTATGGCTGCCTGCAGCCAGGCCCCCATCCTCTGCCTTTCTTGGGGAACCTTCTTCAGATGGACAGAAGTGGCTTACTCAAATCCTCCCTCAGGGTGAGATGCAGATTGGATGGGGTCTGAGGGGGGCTCCCTGCCTCTGTACTTGGAGATCACTCCCCAGAAGGCGTGGGCGTGGGGTGAGGAAGGGGCATGGAGGTGCAGCATGCTGGATGGTGCTCAGAGAATCAGGTGTCCCTGCTCGGTTGAGGTGTGTGGGCACTGTCTCTGGAGCAGGCAAGTGGGTTTGAAGAGGTGTCTGGGTGTGAGCCATGGTGTAGAATTTCATTCTTCAGCCACCCCTCGGGTGCCTGCCGGGTGCTGGAAGAACAAAAAAAAGGGGCGGTGCCACCAATCAAATAGGCCTCTCCTGCCCAAAAAAGAGGCCCAGGTCGGTGCTGGTGTCGGGAGGAAGAGGGGTGAGGAGGATGGGAGGCCAGACACAGAGTGCTTAGCAATAATGACCATGAATGAGCTGTAATAACTAACGCCGGGGTATTTACCAGGTCCCGGATCACTGCTTTCCAGCATGATTTCTTGCTTGATGATCCATTTATTTATTAATAATGTTGTCCACACCCACGAACTGACTTCCCAACAGAGGAACTGGATGACCAACAGGAACTTCCAGTTGCCCCATTCTCCTCTGTCTACCCCTCGCCCCATGGCGACCATGCTCCTGAATCTTGGCCTTGCCATCCTTTTGCTTTTATTTTTATTATTTTTTTTAAAAAAGCTTTTATTTATTTATTTGACAGAGAGAAACACAGCGAGAGAGGGGACATAAGCAGGGGGAGTGGGAGAGGGAGAAGCAGGCTTCCCGCGGAGCAGGGAGCCCGACACGGGGCTCCATCCCAGGGCCCTGGGATCATGACCTGAGCCAAAGGCAGACACTAACGACTGAGCCACCCAGGCGCCCCTTAACTTTTTTATGATTTTAAGTCAACTGTTATTGAGGTTTAGCATCACCCCTAAAAGTGCACAAACCCTAAGTGTTCAGCTCAGTGAATTCTCTCAAAGGAGCATACTCATGTAATTGACATACAGATAAGTAACAACACGTTCTGTCCCCAGAAGCCCACTTCCAGTCACCACCCTCCCACTATCCTGGCTTCATATAAATAGAATTATGACCGGGGACGCCTGGGTGGCTCAGTCTTTTGGGGTTCAGACTCTTGATGATCTCAAGGTTGTAAGATAGAACCCCCCCCCCCCAGGTCAGGCTCCACTCTGGGCGTGGAGCTTGCTTAAGATCATCTCTCTCCCTCTCCCTCTCCCTCTGCCCCACCCTTCCTCCCCGACTCCCTCCTGCTTGCACTTCATGCTCTCTCTCTAAAGTAAATAAATAAATAGAATTATGACCTATGGACACTTTTGTGTCTGATTGCTTTCACTCAACACTATGCCTGTTGAGTTTCATTCATGTTGCTGGCTACAGAGCCCATTCTTTTTAATTGCTACATAGTATTCCACGGCATGAATATATCACTATATATTTATCCTCCATCTGTGTTGCTGAGCTTCCAGGAATCTTCTTGTTTGTATTTTGGTGAATCTATGTGCACATTTTTGCTGGGTGTGCATCTGGTGGTGGGGATGCTGGGTCACTGAGTATACATGTGTTTAGTTTCAGGTTTGTTTTTTTTTTAAGATTTTATTTATTTAGGGGCGCCTGGGTGGCTCAGATGGTTAAGCGTCTGCCTTCGGCTCAGGTCATGATCCCAGGGTCCTGGGATCGAGTCCCGCATCAGGCTCTCTGCTCCTTGGGAGCCTGCTTCTCCCTCTGTCTCTCTCTCTCTGTCTCTCATGAATAAATAAATAAAATCTTTAAAAAAAAAAAAAGATTTTATTTATTTATTCGACCGAGAGAGACACAGCGAGAGAGGGAACACAGGCAGGGGGAGTGGGAGAGGGAGAAGCAGGCTTCCCGCCAAGCAGGGAGCCCGATGCGGGGCTTGATCCCAGGACCCTGGGACCATGACCTGAGCGGAAGGCAGACACCTAACGACTGAGCCACCCAGGTGCCCCCAGCACCGAGCAGTTTTGCAAGTGGCCGCACTGATGTTATGATTCCTCAGATTTCATGATCATCCCAGAAGCCATTGTTTTCCCTTCATGTCTACCCAGTGGGTGGTTCAGGGTAGTTCTGTGGGGAAATAAAGTCAGGAGGCAGACAGCAGGTTGATGTCGGGTCACAAGGAGGATGACCTTTCGGTTTCAATGCTGGGGAGATCTGGCTAGACTCAGGGGTATGGGCAGGAGTAAGAGATATGTAACCATCTATACTGCTTAGGGCACCACTCATGCAGAGCCTGGCTGGGTCATGGGTTAATCCTTTAGTTGTTGGATCCTGGGAAGGGGAAAGGCAGCCTGGGGTGGAGGGTCTTGGGGGCAGCAAGATCAATCTATACGTAAGTGTCTTTATGGCTAAACAACTGGGATGGCCGCATCGGTGCATATGGACTAATAGCAACCCTCGGTGTGGATGTGCTTCACAGTTCCGAGAGAAATATGGGGATGTCTTCACGGTGTACCTGGGGCCAAGGCCTGTGGTCATGCTATGTGGGATAAAGGCCATACGGGAGGCCCTGGTGGACCAGGCTGAGACCTTCTCCGGCCAGGGGAAAATTGCTATACTAGAGGCAGTCTTCCAGGGATATGGTAAGGGCCTCAAAGGCACCTGGAGGGGAATGATGGACAAGGGGAACTGGGGAGGATGGATCCGGGAAGAGAAGATAAGGGGGTGCTGAGGGACCCAGAGTTCCCTTCCAATCTCCTCAGCAAACCATGCCTTCCCTACACCCCCAGTTGTGGTCTTTGCCAATGGGGAATGCCGGAAGACCCTTCGCCGATTCTCTCTGGCCACCATGAGGGACTTCGGGATGGGGAAGTGGAGTATGGAGGAGCGGATTCAGGAGGAGGCTCAGTGTCTGGTGGAGGAGCTACGGAAAACCCAGGGTGAGTCCTGGGGAAGGCAGGGTGCATGGGGCACCCGTGGGCAGAGAAAGAGAGGTAGAGATAGAGAATGATCCCGAGAGATCATCAGGCAGAGGAACAGACAGAGATGAGTAGGAGAGGAACACGGGGAGGCAGAAGAGATGTGGGGTGTATAGTGTCGAGAATAACTCAAAGGCATAAACTTAGATATTAGCACACTATTTACTTGGATTCAGGGAAACCAACTCATGGATTAATTGTATCTATCAAAGGCGAAAATAGGACTTATAAAAAGAAGGCAAAGAGAAAGCGGACATAAAGATGTCCGGGTCCTTCTATAAGAGATATTTTGAGACATAAATGTAGAGGCTGGGAGGGAGAGGCAGAGGCAGAGACATAGGGAGAAATAAAGGAATAGGGACAGAGGACTAAGAAGACAGACCGGAAGAAACAGAGTGACTCAGATGGAGAGACAGGGAAGGAGAAAGAGGCAGAGATGGAGGGACCAAGACAGAGAGAGACTGGAAGAGCCTGGGACAGGCAGAAAGAAACCAAGGCAGAGAAAATGAGACAGGCAGACAGACAGGTTCAGGGAAGGGTCTGCTGAGGGAACAAGACCAGATGGACAGGTGAGACCCGCAGAGAGAGGCTGATGACATGTTGCTCTTGGGCACACAGTCAGGGAGACCAGAATGTATATAGACGTCGACTAGCAAGTACAGAACAATTCTCTGGACACCAGAGAGCCCTAGAGGTGGAGAGAAGAGATGAAGGGGCAGTGACAGACAAGGGATAGGGAGAGCAGAGCTTTTTAATTTGCACATGTGATTGACTGATCATCCGCTCTGCACCCCTCTGCCCCTGGGACTTAACTCCCTGCTCCCAGGGTCAGAGCTGAGACCTGAGAGGGACTATCTGCACAGCCCCTGGGTCTGAATCATGACCCCAGGGATGAGGAGCTGGGGAACACTGGTCAAGTTACTCCACCTCTCTGCCCATCTGTAAGATGGAAATAATAACAGAATGGCACTTTCCTCCAGGGTTGTGGTGGGAATTTAAGAAAATAATATACGAAGGGCTTAGAATAGGGCCTGGCACATCATCTGGGCTGGTGCATGTTAGCTGTTCCTGTCCCCTTTCCTTTACTGTCACTGGGCGAGGGAAGGCAGATATGCAGAGATGGGGTGGTAGACAAATGCTCCCAAGGCATCTGTTTGAGTCTGTGTCCCACGACTTGTGCCTCCTCCTCCTAGGAGCCCTCCAGGACCCCACATTATTCTTCCACTCCATGACCACTAACATCATCTGTTCCATTGTCTTTGGAAAACGCTTTGGCTACAGAGACCCTGAATTCCTGTGGCTGTTGGACCTGTTCTACCAGTCCTTCACGCTCATCAGCTCCTTCTCCAGCCAGGTCAGGGAGAGGGTGCAGGAGGGTGGGCATGAGGTGGGCATCTAGGGTAGGGGAGAGGGGCAATCTGCTTTGGGAGCCCAGCAATGCAGCTTCAGGCTGGAAGGTGGGGCAGAGACAACCGAGAGGGACAGGGACACTGAACCAGGGACACTGAGCGCTGGGGGGCGGAAGGGAGGGACGGGAGACAGGGACTGGAGAGCCTAGTATGACGAGGCAAAGATGAAGAGACGGGGGACAGAATATGGATCAGACTGTCAGGCTCTCTCCTCTTCTGTCCCTGATTTCTCCAAACCTTCACCTCTGTCTTTGGCAAAACCCCTTGCTTGAAACAATTCAAAGGACACATGAAAATAAGGAATGACATTTCTTTGTTTTTGCCATTTCTCCTTCCTCTTTCTGTTATTTTTTTAAATGTCTCCCAGATAATAAAGTAATATGCTCCACTTTAAAAACAAAATAGTATCGTTTCTCTTTCTCAAAGAACCTGGAAATACCCCAATTGTATATTAAGTTTAAAAAATTAAACTGCAGGGCGCCTAGGTGGCTCAGTTGGTTGAGCGACTGCCTTCGGCTTAGGTCATGATCCCGGGGTCCTGGGATCGAGTCCCGCGTCGGGCTCCCCGCTCTGCAGGGAGCCTGCTTCTCCCTCTCCCACTCCCCCTGCTTGTGTTCCCTCTCTCACTGTGTCTCTCTGTCAAATAAATAATAAAAATAAAATCTTAAAAAAAAAAATTAAACTGCAGGAGCACCTGGGTAGCTCAGTTGGTTAAGTCTCCAACTCTTGATTTCGGCTCAGGTCCTGATCTCAGGGATGTGAGATGGAACCCCACCTCAGGCTCCGCTCAGAGCATGGAGCCTACTTAAGATTCTCTTTCTCGCTCGCCTTCTGCTCCTCCCCCACTTCTCTCTCCCTGTCTTAAAAAAAAAAAAAAAAGAAAGAAAGAAAGAAAAGAAAAGAAATTAAACTTAAGAGCGCTATGCCTGTCTATGGTTCTTAACCAGGAATGGATGTCAGATGCGTGCGTAGGACTGTCACAAATACAAATTCCCATGACCACCTACTGGAGAATCTGCTCCAAAAATCTGGAATGGGGCCCAGGGTGAGTATTTGAGAGAAGCGCAAAAGGTGATTTCACTTTTCTCCTCCCATAGAAAACCACAGAGAGAAAACTCTGGAAGGAGATTCACCAGAGTTAACAATGGTTATCCCTAGAAGGAGGGATTAAAAGAATTTTACATTGTACTCTCTCTGTTCCCACATTTTTTGGGAACAAAACAATTATTTTTTTACAGGAACTTAGGTATTACATTAATCTTCAGATGATCCAGTAGAAATATGTTTCAAAATAAATATAGTCCTAGGTAGTCAGTAGGTTCATCTTGTGTAAACATCATGTTCTCACTGTTGGGCACAGCAAGGGAGATGTGGCAGTGGAAAGAGTCAGAGAGGTCTGAGCTACACAGATCAATTGGCTGAAGTAGACAAGAGAAGTGCCCAGAGGGTGCCTGGCTGTCTCAGTCAGTGGAGCCTGGGACTCTTGATCTCAGGGTTGTGAGTTCGGGCCCCACGCTGGGTGAAGAGATTACTTAAAAAAAAAAAAAAGAAGAAGAAGGTCAGAGTGATTAGAGACACAGAGGTAAGGAGAGGCGCAAAGGAGAGAGACGGAGAGGTGGGGCGGGGCAAGGACCAAAACAAGATGTGAGGATGAGGGAGAAAGATGCAGAAGGAGAAAAATGGGAGAATAACAGATCAAAGGAGACTTAGGATCAGTGAGGGGGAGACAGAGACAGAGAGCAACAGAGACAGAGAGAGACACAGGGAGAAGAGAGCCTCTCCCCCACCCCAAGTGTTAGGGCCCAGGAGGGCTCCCCTCCCTGGGACCTACAACTCAGCCCCAGGACGACCTCACAGCCCCTTCTCTCCCGCAGGTGTTTGAGCTTTTCCACAACTTCTTGAAGTACTTCCCTGGTACACACAGGCAAGTCTACAAAAACCTGCAGGAAATCACCCACTTCATTGACCGCGTTGTGGAGAAGCACCGTGAAACCCTGGACCCCAGCTCCCCCCAGGACTTCATTGACGCCTACCTGATCCGCATGGACAAAGTGGGGTTTGGAGAAGGGAAATGGGAGGGACGGGAAGGGAAGAAAAGATGGGGGAGTGAGAAGAAGGGAGGGGCGAGGGGAAAGAAATGGGGAAGAAGGAGGGAAGGACGCAGGATATGGAGGGAGATTGGGGACAGGGACGGGAGACGCAAAAGGGAAATGACGGGAAGAGAGAGGAAGAGAGAGAAACAGGGAACGCAGGACGCGTGGACCGAAGGACAGCAACAGGTGACAAGACTCACAGAAGCCTAAAGAGGCTGGGAGCCAGGGGCAGACAAACACAGCAGAGAGATGGGAAATGCACTGGAGCCGAGACAGAGTGCAGAGAGACGGAGAGGGATTCCTAGGTGGGCGCACAGAGGGCACAGAAATGTCAACTGGACTAGACGGTGTGAGAAACCCAGAAGCTGGGGAGGGCGCCCCGAGGGAGGGACGAGGGACGAGCGTGCAGCAAAGCCCCCTGCTTCCCCATGGATTCAGGAGAAGGCCGACCCCCGCAGCGAGTTCCACCAGCGGAACCTCATCTACACGGTGCTGTCGCTCATCTTTGCCGGCACGGAGACCACCAGCATCACGCTCCGCTATGGATTCCTGCTCCTGCTCAAATACCCCCACATCACAGGTGGGGGGCCGGGGACAGCCCATGGAGGGGGGGATCTTCTGACCGCTTTGGGGGCTGCAGGGGGGTGGTGTTGGCGTCCTTCCCGAATGAGAGAGGCGGTGTTCATCTCTTACACCAGGACCACTGCAGGTATTGAATGAGCCCCTAACTAAGCCAGTCCTGTGGGTGGATGGATGACCAATCTGTGAGTGTGTTCTCCCACTGTTTCCTCCCATCACTTAAAGGCAGACTCATCTATCCACTCACCCATCCATCCTTTTACTTACTAATTAACCTGTACACTCAGATTCTTTCATTAATGATTAATCCAATGACATAGACTTCCATTCTTTATTTGGATTCATTGATTCATCTGTTGATCTTTTGAAACAGTGATTAATCAGATGAAGTATTTGTCATTGATTCATTGGCTCATTCATTCATGCATGTATTCATCTGTCCTATGAACTAGATTTCATTCCTTAATTCTTCCATCGTTCTTTCTTTAAAAAAAAAAAAAGATTTTATTTTATTTATTTGAGAGAAAGAGAGAGTGCACCAGAGCAGGGTGACGGGCAGAGGGAGAAGCAAACTCCCTGTTGAGCAGAGAACCTGATGTGGGACTTGATCCCCAGATTCCCCGGATCATGACCAGGGCCAAAGACAGATGCTTAACCCACTGAGCCACCCAGGTGCCCCTTCCATCATTCTTTCATTCCATCCTTCATCCATCTATTATTCATTTATTAATTCACTCGGTTATTCATCACTGATTTATTGTTTTATCATTCAATCCATCCATCCATTCCTTTATTTACCTATTCCTTCATTAATTTAATTACTTACTTATTCCTCTATAGATCTAGCCAGCCATCCATTTATGTGATTTGTTGGTTAATCAGGTTCATTTGTCTATGGGCCATTTATTAATCAATGATTAATGATTCATTAATTCACATGTTGAGAAATAAATACATACATGCATTCATTAGTGCTCTTCCATTCATCAATCTTTCCATTCATAAGTTGATTGATTTATGTATTCATTTATTTATCCAGTTTTTCACGGGTTAATCTGTTGATCTATTTCATTGTTATATTCCTGAAGACCTAGCACAGTGTGGTCTGTAAGAGACACACAATAATTATGAGTTCATTTTCGGGCGCCTGGGTGGCTCAGTTGGTTAAGCGACTGCCTTCGGCTCAGGTCATGATCCTGGAGTCCCTGGATCAAGTCCCGCATCGGGCTCCCTGCTCAGCAGGGAGTCTGCTTCTCCCTCTGGCCCTCCCCCCTCTCATGTGCTCTCTCTCATTCTCTCTCTCTCAAATAAATAAATAAATAAAATCTTTAAAAAAATTATTGGTTCATTTTCAACTCTTTTTTTTTAAGGATTTTATTTATTTATTTGAGAGAGAGAATGAGAGACAGCCCTCAGCCTCTGTGCTTGTGACTTTAAAACATCGTCCATATTTCTCTGATCACATCCACCAAAACCAGTGAGATCAAAATAAAGTTCCGCTCTTTCTGGACCCAAGGCTATCTGTGCTACCATGCTCTTTTTTTTTTCTTTTTTTGAACTAAAATTCACATAACATAAAATTAACCACTAACCATCTTAAAGTATACAATTCAATGGCATTTAGTACAATCACAGTATCATGCAACCATTGTCTCTGTCCAGGGTCCAATCATTTTCATCACCCCAAAAGGAAGTTCTGTACTTTTGAGGCCTGAATAATATTCTGCTGTATGGAAACACCACATTTGGTTTATCCCTCCATCAGGTAATTGGCATGTGGGTTGTTGGCACCTTTTGGCTCTTGTCAACAGTGCCACTGTGGATATTTGCATGCAGGGTGGCCCTGTGTTTGTTTTACTCTCCATCAGGAATGGAAGGAAGGTGTTCTTTAGTTTCTGCCTTCAGACCTGAGGCTCTGGAAGGACAGGGCCAGACCTTCCCACCCAAACGCTCTTCACAGGCGGTATTGAAGATTCAATGAGATAGTACTGACAGAGTGGCTAGAACAGTGTTTGGCACCAAGTGAATACCACTTAAGTGTCTGACAAGTAAATACATTCTCCAGGAGGTGAAGTCACTGGCCTGAAGGCAGAGCCTGACAACACCAGAGCCCAGTGACTCCCAAGGCTGAGCTCTTGACACTGAGGTGCTGTGGAGAAGGGTGGCCTGTCCCATCAACCCCGTGCTTTGGTTTTCCTCCTGTCTCATGCTGAGGGGCCATTCAAGGCATGTCTGGAGTGAGGCTATTTCAGAGAGAAGGGTGGGAGAGGTAGCTGGTTCCTATGCCTGAGAGGATGGATGTGGGGATGGGGGTCCCAGTCAGCCAAGGTAACCCCCCTTCCCTGTTCCATCCTCTCTGCCTCAACCCCAGGCAGGTGCTTCATCCCAGTGCTCAGGAGAAGGGAGGCTGGGGTCTGGGGTGGGTGAGGGCTTACTGCATCTCAGATTATGGTCTTTGGACAGTCTGAGCTACACCTTCACTGCTGAGGGATAGGTCATGGTCGAGGTCACATGTGGACCTAACCAGTGTTCCTTCCCTTCCCTACTGGGGCCATGGGCAGTAAGATTCAGGTTCAACCGAAGCAGGTGGCCAGAAGGAAAGCTGTGGAAGCTATACTCTAACTTTAGAAGGAAAACAGGGCATTGGTCTTTCTTTCAAGGGCTCTGGTCGGTGGCTGAACTGTGTGGGACTGAGGTTGCTCAAGAGCAGTTGATGGAACAGTCCAGGGATCCTCCAGTAGGGATGAGATTGGGTTCCTGGCACTAGTCTCATGGGGAATCAGTGAGTGGAGGGTGGAGCAGAGAGAGCCAGGTAGAAACTACTTGTTTTAGGACCTTGCCTTAGAAGCCTGGCACTGTTACTTCCTATGCATTCCATAGGCCAAAGCAGCTACAAATTCCACCCAGATTCCAGAGGAGGGGAAAGAGATGACATTGGATAATCAACAAATCACGTACTTAACAAAGCAGGTGACCATCAACAAACATGCACCTATTTACAAATTACTATTTAGTGTTTGCAGGACTTTACATTGTGTAAGAAACTTTGCCTCTTGTCAGTAATTTATTATGAAGCACGTAGCAACTTATTTATCTATCCAAAATATAAAGTGTTTTGCAGTTTAAGAGCACTTTATAATTACAAAGGAATTTGATGTGGACAGATAATTTTGCATTTAAAAATATTGTTTACCTTCAGCAAAACCCTTTGAGGTTTGCAGAGGATTCTGTAGTATACAGAACTCCTTGTTGTTTACAGAACATTTTGTAGTTTTTAAGTAGCTTGACATTTACAAAGCACTTTACCATTTGCAAAGATTCTAGATGGCACATGGGATAGAGTATTTGTAAACATTGCATGTGGTTTGTACAGCATTTTGTAACACAAAAATTTTTCTGTTTACAAAAGATCTTAGCAGAGTGGCAGAGTGCATTGTAATAAAGTGATTTTTCCATTTTACAAAGTGCATATTTATTAATTCCTTTGTAACATTCACAGAGAAGTTGTCATTCACAAAGGGCTTTATTTCTACCTATAGAACAAGTCAAAATAGAACAGCACTTGATGAAGGCTTAAACGTTTCCAAAGCACTTGGGGGGCAGTTTACAAGCCCTCCAGCCTTCATCTGATGTTAGGATGCTAAGATGGGATTAGGCAGCAAACCAGGGAGATGTCCCTGCCCTACTGGAACTGACATCAAGTGGGGGAGAAAATAAATAAACAAAATCATGGCAGACAGTGATAAGCGCTATGAAGAGAGCTCAGAACTGGTGAAGATAGGAAACAAATAGGAAGAGGTGGGGAGCTAATTTAGAGAAAAGGTTTTCAGTCAGAGAACACTGCAAAAGACATCCCCCACCAACTAGCCATCTACAGAATGCTCTCCTGTTTACAAAGCACTTTTGAAGTTATCATCACACTTGACTCTTCAGATAGCTTTGGGAGATGGAAGATGTTATCTAGACCAACCCTACTTCTTAGACATTAGGATCTAAAGAGGGAGGTGGTTATCCAATATCTCAAAGGAGATCAGTAGTGTGGGCAAAACTTGGAATACAGGATTCCAGACTCCTCATGACTTCCCCCACTCCATCACATGCATGTTTACAAAAATCAGCTGGAATTAAAAATCAAAGGAATGTCCATATAGGACTTTTATTCATACAACACTTGATGATCTCACTAAATAGTGGGTATCTGAGACCTGACTTTTGATCCTATTGGTTAGAGTATGGAATGGACATGACTCAACCATTTGGGACCAATTTTTCCAGACTCACCAGTCCTTCTAAGGCTTTCTTGGAAGGCTGCTCCTTGTCAGTGAGGTTCCCCAAGACTTACTTCATCCAGGAGAAGCACAGGAAGAGGTTTACAAGGTGATTGGCCTGCTGACCCACAAGCACTTGACCACCTAGAAAAAAATGTCTGAACTAAAGCTGTTCCTTGTGAGATCCAGAGACCCTGTAACCTCCCCCTTGTTGAAGTGCTTTGCCATCCCAATAAGTCTTAGTTTTAGCAATAATTCACCTGCAAGATAAGACTAGCTCAGGCCAGGAAAACTTGGAATGAGGGTCTTTATCCTGAGAGACTCTTTTGTTCACTGAAGTGCAGAGTGTTTTCTCCCAGGTTTTTTTTGGGAAGGAGACTGTAACTCTCCTAAGATCACTCAACCCCAGGATATACTCTACCCTGAGCCTAGTCTTTTAAGGTTTCACTGTTGTGAGAAGTTAAATATTTTCTTTCTTAGCCTAGATGAGGAGGAGACATTAGAGGAGGATCTGGTCTTTATTCCCATCTCTTGAGGTAAGCAGATCACATCCATTCTCCACACGTGGGGACTTGGTGTTGGGACTGACTTCTCCTCCTGGACCAGGGAGAGGCACCCTTGTTCCCTATTTATTCAGTCTCCCTAAGGGAAACAAATGGACAAATCTTAAATATAAGAAAATGAGATAAAATATGATTTTAAAACTATATATCTAGTAGTTGTTCCTGGTTCT